TTTTCACTCTGTCTTTGGCAGCCAGCAGTACCTGTGCCTGTGCTTGGCCCTAACTGGTGGAATTTTTATCAGCATTTTGGTTTTTTGAGTTTTGACCGGAATCTCCCATCAAGCTGCACTTAGAGCACTTCTGTAGATGGCATCTCCAAACCTTTCTAAACTACTCCTGTGAAGCCCTCCAACAGGCTTCTCCACCACATGGTCAGGTATAGTCACAGCGACGACCTCGCTCTTGCTACCAGAATCTGTCTCAGATACTTTCCCCACACTGAGACACAGTACCACACGCATGCAGCTGAAAGGAGAAGAGGCTTATTTTGACCCAAGGCTTCAGTCCCTTGTCAGCTGGCTTCAAGACAGAAACAGGAGGCAGAGGAGCATGGCAGAAGAAAAGATGCTCAACCAGGGGCAGGCATAGAAAGAAGGAGCTGGACAAGAAAATACCCTTCCAGGTCATGCATGTAGCGCCTTACTTGCACATAGGTCCTCCCTACCTTCTAACTGTGTATTTAGCTACTTGTCTCCTCCATGGATGAGTCCCCTGATGAGTATAGCGCCGCCCATGATCCAATCACCTTCCACACACATGAGAATTTGGGGAAACATTTTAAATCTAAACCATAACAACAGCTTACAATTTAAAGGGTACTACATAGTAAATATTTGCTGACTTGAATAATATCCACCCAAAGTAGATGAACACCTGAAACTTTATCTACTTTCTCCTTCATCTGGCAGTAATGATATGCTCCACTAATATATTCTTCATTTCCACTACTTGTGCAATACACAAGTAGATACAAGTTTTGGCAAAGCCACTAAATGTTAGTCACTATTCCAGTTTCTAGAGATAAAAAGATTATTGAAGTAGTCTTTTTTTTTTTACTAAGGAGATACACAGCACAAAAAAGGTATATTCGTATAAATAACTATAATGCAATAATAGCTCTACATGAGTCATATAACAAAGAGGATGGAGAAGCACAGAGAACAAAGATAGTACATTCTTTTTTGCATAACAGAGTAAAGGCTCTCCTCCTAATTGCCTAAGAGAAGTTTTCTTTAAACCTTAGGTTCACCAAGAAGCAGCAAAGAAAAGACATTTCATGGAAAAATGAACACATAAAAAGTAGAGAATGTGAGGAGAAATCTTGTGATATTCTTAGGATTGCTGAAGATTGTACAGTGGCATAATTGAGGCCGGGGCTAGAGGAAGAAGAATATAAGACATGGCAGAAACTAGCTGGGAAGTTTAGCCTGGGAACATGGGAAGGTTCAAGCTAAATGATGGGGTACTACAGCATTAGCATGAAATCAAGCTCTGAGGACAGTGCGGGGCACGGGGGCTCTAAAGGGAGAAGCCTAGGAAAGAGGCAGAGGAGAAAAGTAGATATGGTGACCTTCCAAAACTTGAATATAGAAGGATCATGTGACCTTGCAGTCCTATTAACTGGTTATATATTAACAGAAAAGGAGACCAGCATGTTAGAGAGACATCTACACTCTCATTCACCCTGCAGCACTATTTAAAACAACCAAGAAATGGTATCAGGCTAGTGTCTCTCTACTGACCAACAGAAAAGAAAACGTTGCATATACAGAAAGAATGAAATCCTGTTACTTCCAACATCGATGGCATCATTGATGGAGATCACTGTTTCAATCTAATAAGCCAGGCACAGAAAGAGAAGTACTGCATGATCTCTCTCAGATGTAGTATCAAAAAAATTTTGATCTTATAGAAGTTGAGAGTAAAAGGGTGGTTTTCAGAGACTGGAAATAGTACAGAGTGGAGGGCTGAGGAGAGGTTGGCCAGTGGGTACAGATTATAGCTACATAAGAGCAAGAAGCCCAGGTGTGCTGCTGTGGAGCAGCTCCACTGTAGATAGCAGGTATGTACTATGTATTTTAGAAAGGGAGGAGAGTTTTTTTAATGTTTTACCATTAACAAATGATAAATTCTTGAGGAGTTAGGATTTATCCTGACTTTAAGCATTACAAAATATGTATATGTATTAAGACATGATATGGCACACTGTAAACATGTACAACATAAATTTAAATAAAAATACAAGGAAAACTTTTTCAAACGTTCATCTGCTAACTCAGTGAAAAACAGTAGGAGAGGAACAAGTCTTTAACCCACTGTAACAATCTGGGAACCATTGGGAAGGATGGGATGTGGCAGAGAAGTCCTGTCAGAGGAGACCTCTGAATGGGAAGTGGGAGGGGGCGTGGATGGGCTGGGTGGGTAAGTCAGGGTGGGGCTCTAGCAAGGTCCGAGAGTGCAGCAGGAAACTCACGCGTCCTTAGCTCTAGAATCACTGTCCTGATTGCACATTTGAGAACAGGAAGAAACAAATGAAACGTTCATTTGAAAAGACAAATGGGAAAAACATTTTTGGTTTTCAGAAATAGAAGAGCAAAAGCATAATCCTAGGGTGAAGAAAATATATTTTAAAGGAGGAATAATTAGCCAAACATGATGACTCAGAGCTGTATTCCTAGGTACAGGGGAGGCTGAGGTGGAGGACAGCTTGAACCAAGTTGTGACCTGGACAACGCAGTGAGACTACATCTCAAAACAAAACAAAACAAAGCCAAAAAACCAAATCAATAAGCTGGGAACACTTATTGTTTGTAATCCCAGCACCGTGGGAGGCGGAGGGAGGGGGACCGCAAATTAGAGCCCAGATTGAGTTTGAGCAACTCAATGGTTTAGGGAGACCCTGCCTCAATAAAGTACAGCAAAAGGGGCTGGGGGCGTAGCTCAGGGTGAGGATCTCGGATTCACTCCCCAGTACGAGTAAATACATAAACAGACAAACACACAAATAAATAAATTGAAAAGGAACAGTTAAGATGTAAGACAGAAGGTAAGAGGATGGTCAGAAACCACTTGTCCTCTTATTTGTCTGTGAAATACGATGTAAGGAAGAATGAATTATATATCGGTACCTTCATAAGTAGAGGAATTGATTTAACAAGTAAATGTGGCTGAGGACTGTAATAATACAAAGCAGAAAATGAGTCAGGAACATCTATAGGCATGAGTCAGTACCCCCAGTCTCGGGAAAGCACAGCCCTGGACAACAGTCAGTGCTAAAATTTAACTTGCTGTCTGTGTTAGTTAACTTTTCTCTTGAGGTGCTGCAACAAAATACCCAACACCCCAAGCTAAAGGGGGGAAAGGTTTATTTAGGTCACGATGTGTAGAAGTTTCAGCCCATAATTGGCTGGCTCCATGGCAGGGTGACAGAGCAGAAACAGTTTATGGCAGCAGAAGACAACAAAAGCAACAAGAGACCTTAACCACAGCATTCTCTCCCTCTAATCCCATCCAGACTACGGGGATTAGGGCAGGGCCCAACCAGTCACTCATGGCAGTGGCTCAGCAATCGCACGCCCTTAACCCCAGCATCACATATTCCAGATTCAGCCACCTCTGAAAAAGAAAGCCCCACCTCGTCCTCATGAGGCTTTTGGGGGACATCCAGACACAAGCCTTAACATTGTCCTGCTTGCAGAACTTGTCCCAGAGTACCCGTGTTGATTTAATTTCTTATCACATGACTCACTTTCCGTTTCTTCCTCTTCTCTCTCTTCCTCCTTCTGAGTCTCAAAACAAATAACAGACTTTTGTTCTTCCAGAGCTTCCTCAAGGGCAGACTCTCCTCCAAAGGCCAGGGGAGCTTTTCTCAAGAGAGCTTTCCAGAAGTGAGACCTCTGCTTCTCCAGCCCCTGTCATCAATGCTACCTTTGCTTCATTCTAGGTCATTTACACAAGATTTGATAACTCTTATATTGAGCTAAACTTAATATATTAATGCCAATAAGAACAAATATACATTAACCACAACAGCCCTATGAGAAACTGTGACACCAAGGCACAAAGACTATAAATAAGTCAATGTGCACAAAATCTCCCAAGTGTTATGTGGTGATGGAAACACTCAAATCCATATCTTTTAGCCTAAAAATAAAGTCTTAAGTTTGTGCTGTTACTGTGACCCCCTTTAATCTCAGCAAAAATGAAGTAAAAAGTCGATTTTAGGAAATTATTTAATATTTTTGGGTACTAGTCTTTGAGCAAAGAATTGAGGTAAGAATTGAGAGATTTAGCCCTGAATATTCACTCTTCAGTAGGCATGGGATTTGAAGATTTGCAACTAAATATTTCATTAGCAATTCCAAAGCAATCAATCTGTCATTCAAAGAAAATCAAGTGATTAGGTGAGTGCAATCACATTCAGATATGCTCTTTTTACCTTCCTCAGAAATCCACACCACTATACACAGGAACAGATACTTCAATATGGAACACTGGCCACGTGGGCATGAATAAGTGGAAATGTACTTTATAACTAAAGTTTCTTTCTGTAAAGTTCAAGTATGATGAGAGAGTCAAAGCTTTTAATCTATTTATTTTTATTTTACTCTACTGGTAAAAGTTGCACATTATTTTATCATTGAAGTAATTTAGAAAGCTCAAACCTAAAGGATGGCTACAAAGAATGAAACCTTCTTTATCAGGAAAATATATGTAATAAGTATATCTGAGCAATTACAGGTTTTAATTGCAATACACAAAGTTGTAGCTGTATGGTACATACTGTGTAAAACAAATTGTGTTAGTGTTTTATTTTCATTAAGTACATATTTATGGATAGTTAGGTAATCCTTCCTGTGTTGTTCAGCTTGGGATTACTATATTACAGTGCTTGGTATAAATCATCTTAAAAAGAGGAAGAGTTAATCAGGGCTCACAATTTTGAAGATTGGATTCCTTGGTCCGTTGGCCTGTTGCCTCTGGGCCTGTAGTGAGCCAGCACATCACAGTGGGAGTGGGTGGTAAAGGATGCTGCTCTCGTCAGGGCAGCCAGGATGAGATGGAGGAAGAGGAAGAGAGACAGGGCCATGGCACCAATACCCCCTGCAAGGGCACAGCCCCAATGACCTAACTTCCTCCCACTGGGCCCCACCCTCCCACCCTCCCCAAACATCACACAGCTTCTCAACACATGAGCCTTCAACACATGCCTTTGAGGGACACTTACTCATCACAACCATATCACTTGCACAAAACTCCGCACCATAACTAACATTATCAAGCAATAACATAATAACAACAGACAACACTTAGAACTTCCTCTTCTTTTGTGATATTTGGGTGTTGAAAAGCTATGTGAGACAAACCTTCCCCAAGTTCTCTAGAGTTTTAAGGAGAAGAGTGTGAAGATGCACTTAGGCAAAATAGTCGGTAATGTGGTCAAGCAATTCCTCTCAGAGGTGTGTAATAGATAAGCAGGTCTCCCACAGTGTGAAGTCCACGTTGGCTGCATGGTAGATGCAACTCCAAATGCAGTCTAGATGATGGCTGTAAAATACCATGGGCATTGAGCTCACCTTGGATACTTGTTTAAAATCCATCTTCTTGTACCATATCCTAGATGTTTCCCTATCAATAAAACTAAAGTTTCACGCAGAAATCTGCTTTTAAGGGGCCTCCTATGACTGTATCAGAGCTGGTTCATGTACAACACTTTGAAAAGTGTATATCTGGACTGTTTATTCAGAAGTATTGGAATTATAAAAAGTAGGAAACAAAGTCCAGAACTTCTCTAAGGACTGTTTCTCTAGACAACATCAGATTTGTCCTGCCCATCTTACCTGGCAGGCGCTCTGCTTCTCTTGGATCCGCTGTCTTCTCTTTGCTCCTCTGTCTTCTCTTTGCTCCTCTGTCTTCTCTTCGTTCCTCTGTCATCCCTCCAGTCCTCACCGTTCCATCTCATAGGAGGCAACAGCTTTCTCTCTGATCCCTCAGTTGGGGCACTACTTCCTCATTCAATGCCCTACACCAATTATCTTCCTGAGTCCATATGATCCCAGGTACCCAAGCTGAGTGAGTGGACCTTCAGAAGAAAATATTACAACTTTTTATTTTGATTTATTTTTTAACTAAAGTAAATAAATAAAGCCTTACTTTTGCTATTTACATCTGGAATTGATGTCAGTAATAATAATCAAAACCCAGAAGTCATTTATTGGAACTCAGGAAGTTGCAAGGGCCCAGAGGGGAGGTTGGAGATTCTACAAGACAAAGCTATGAACCAGACTCCTGTGTTCCTCAGCACTGAGTCTGCTACACTGAATAGCAACTGACGTGTGCTGGGTAAATGGGGTTATGATTTGTATCACTGACTTCTAGCCTTATAAACATGGAAAATCAAATTTTAAAATATTCCTAAAATTAAATTTTGAAGTAAAGTCATAGTATACTATCAGAAAACATTAAAAAATTAGCACAACTGAAAATTCTGAACCTGGCCTTTCTTTAGACATAGTATGAGTCCAAAAAGAGAACATCTGAGAAGAAATCAGATAAAAATTGAAATTGTGTTATTATTATTACCAATGAATTTTAGCCTATGGTTTCTGGAGATATTGGCAATACAGTCTGGCTCTGTACTTACCCATCAGCAAGTACAAATAACTGGAGGCAAGAACTGAAAGTTGCTTCCTTAGAAGGGGGAAAGATCCAAACCCCTCATCATGGACCGGCTTGGTCTGTAGTGCAGACAGGGACCCGAGTGATGCGTGCAGCTCCCTCCATGCCTCCCGGTGGCTTCCTGCCCTTCCGCTCCAGAGCTCTAGCCGATCTTGGCTGCCCTCGCGGCTCCCCAAGCTCACTGCTCCGGACTCGCCGCTCTCGCAGTCCCTCTCCCCATTTTCCTAGCTGCCTTCTCCTGCACGGCCTCCCTTCCCATGACCAGGAAGGACCTAACTCCTTTAGTGGACGTCTGCGACACATGCAGACCAAGTTGCCTCCCCAACACACACGTCTTCTTAGAATATTCCTTGCTTTCACTCTTTTTAAAACTATTTTATTAGTGTATGTGTGCAAGACACAATAATCACGTTCACCGTGGAGTTCCGGGTTCACACCCGTCACATCCGGTCCCTCCTGAGCTCTTCCCTTTCACTTCCTCTCCTCCTCCCCTCCAGGCTTCAGACCCCTTCCCATCTGCCTGTTTCCTGTCCTCTTTCTTTTATTTTTCTCTTTGAATTATTTATACTTTGGGTTTCTCATAGAGCTTTCACTCTTACTGACGGAACTTGTGGCTTTCCCTAAGAGTAGGTAGAGAAACTGCAGTCAGGGGTCAGGACTCCCATGCTCACTTCCCAGCGCCTGCCGCTGCCTAATATAATAACACATTCATTGCTCTATTAATCATAACGATGCTTGGTTATTTAGTAGAAAAAGAAAGAAATGGCCGTGTTTTTGAAATGCCATTTAGGAAAATTCAGGCAAAAGCAGAGATCATATGCCTTCAATTATCTCCCTAAAATCTTAGGTTACCAGGAAGTGTAACAGAATTGGCTGCGGTTTAAAGGGGACCAACCATCTGGGTTACTCCATAGAGCAGCTCCTGAGAGTAAGTCAGTAATTTTACTTACGACTGGTGAGGGAAAAAAACCATAATGATCCAATGTTTTGGGCGAGCTTTGGGAATTTTATATTGTACATAATTAATTTTGTTTCTGAGTGGCTCTTATGAAACAAATTTTTAAAACAACCTAAAGCAGCACACTGAATTTCTTATAAACAATGAAAGAATTACAGAAATAGCAGGTTGTTGTCCTTTATCCAAGAAATATATCGACACTCTTACTTTCAAAAATGTCAGAGCTTCCAGCTGGAGGATGAGCCGGTTTGTTTCTAAAGAAGAAAATTATCCCAACTGCGAAGTTCTCTTAACTAAGCACTGGTAGTCTGGCTTCCAGGGAGACATCCATGGGACAAAGGCATTCTCCTAGGTGGAGAGCCTGTTCCCGTAAACATCTGCTTGCGCTAACTACTCGAGAGCGATTTTGATCCTGTGACAAAGTTTACAGTGGTTTACAATAATTAGGAAATCATAAATAATGATTAAGGATATTGATGGGTATTATCTTTCCCATTTAGTGAAATAGGACAGCCTGAACAAAAGAGTAAGGGTTAGAAAGGGAAAAGGCAGACTGTATGATAAGGAAGCAGTCACAAAAGTGGCCCACCTTGCCCATGCGTTTTACTGCACTTGGATCTGTGACTCAAATGGCTATAGGCACTGATGATTTTTTACAACTAATTGTACTATTTCACTTTCTAGCATTTTTTTTGTTGATGATGTTAGCATTTGACATTAATGATCTGTGATTTAGTACTTATGTAGGGCATGTATGGAATACACACACACACACACACACACACACACACACACGGATTTATTGAACCCAAAGCCTTCACAATGAGCTACATCCTCAACCCATTTCTAATTTTGACTTATTTTGACACAAGGTCTTACCAAGTTGCTCCAGCTAGGCTCAAACTTGACGTATTCCTCCCTCAGCCACTCAGAATACTGTGGTTCCAGGCCTGTAACACCAGGCTCAACTTATATAGATTTTTAAAGTGCCAACTATAACAGGAGACAGAGGAAAAAGAATGACTCATACAGCAATCATGTAAATGCTCAACCATGAACGTGTAGAAAATGCCATGATATTTTTGTAATATCTTTTTATGATATGGCTTTATTAACGTTGGTGTATTTGAGATATAAGTCCTCAGCTATTACTGTGGTAGATAGGTTTATGCTAACAATATAACCTCTCTTTCTTCCTCCTCATTCCTTTTCGTTCATCCTCTCCTCCTCTTCCTCCTTTTCTTCTCTCTCTCTCTCCCTCTCTCTCTCTGTCTCTCTGTCATTGTTCTCTGTAATGAGAAAATGTATTTTAAGACTGATTCATTTTAATGCTGTAGTCTAGGAAAAACTTGAATGAAATTGTGTCCTATGGTTTGTGAATGATTTCTGGTCTCCACCATCACCTCCAAAGGAAAAGCAGTATGCAGTCCCACTGGTCATCACTGAAATACAACACAACAGGTGGCAGTGCTGAAACAGAAAATACTTGTCTAGTTCACACTCTGGCATTTCATTCTCTGTATCTGTCAAAATGAATACTGAAGAGTTGAATGAGAGATTTATACTGGCAGATCATGGATCCCACATGACTATATAGTACTGAAACATTTATAAGGCATTGCGTCTAGGGTATCTACACATTTTCAGTATTACTGATATAGTTTAAATATTTTTCATTGATATTGCTAAATCAGTTAGAGATGCAGGGTTAGTTTGTGTATCAAATTTTAAAAAGAGCTTCCCAAAATGCAGAATAACTTGTATTTGAGTGAAAACATACAGAAGGGAGTCGGTGTGTTGATTTTACTTGGAATAGCAGTCAGTAGCCTGAAGGGTATTGTCTTACTGTTAATGATCAACTCCTCCCCCAACTGTGATTTATTGTACTAGAGCTGTACCAGGTGTGGTCTATCTTTGACAATTCTTCCAGGAGTTCATACCTGCACTGGGCTTCAGGTTTCAGGTCTGTTTAGTGAGAGTGCTGAATGACATGCAATCCAAGAGCTTCTATCTGGTTACATGGACAAAATACTGACTTGCTATGAAAGCCTTTATCTGAAAATCCAGTTTTTGCATTTTAATTTTGGAGAAAGTGAACTTACATGATATGAGAGATGTTAGAAAGAAATTCGGTCTTAAGAAAAATGTCTTCTTTGAAAAAGTTTTAACAGAATGGACATTAAATTTTATGCATGTTCATAAATTGAGCTGTTTTTTCTCTCCAAATAAATGTCAGTGTTGACCAAGGATCAAGTATAGTACCGTGCAAAACTTGGAATCATTATTAGTAAAGTTAACTGTGAGAAAGGCAAGAGGTTTTCAAAAAAAGGTGATTCTCCTGTTTGAAAAATAAAATTTCTGCCACGGGTGCGTTAAAAAAATAAATGCAAGTAGGGCAAAAGGGGAAAAATAAAAAGTTTCCATAGTCTAAATATAGAGCTTTCACCCTAGGTCAAATACGTTTTACTGAAAATACCTAACTTTTAAAAATAAACCTGGTGATTGCCTTATTTCCTTTGAAAAATATACATGACTGTGGCATGCAGGTGCATTGTGTGCTGCTAGTGTGACCAGCTTGTGTGGGGTGCCCCTGAGGACACACTCACCCCCCAGATGGCAGAAAAGCAGCCCCGAGCCAGTCTGCGTGCTAACCCTATAAAGAGCAGGGTGACCCGAGGACGGGGGATCACAGCTCAAGTTTGGAAGTGATATTTTATCTCGTTTCTGGCACCGTGAACACTAACCTGATCCTTATCTCTCTAAGAGAAAACATTCCTCTGTTACTGGCTGGCATAACTCTCTGTGATTTCCACATACCACTTGAAAATTATGAAAGAGCCGTTGTATGAAAACTTGGGATAAGCAGGATATTTAAGGACTGATATCATGATCAGGTAAATCTGTAAATTGCACTTTGTTTTAGGAACCTCTGAAGAGAAAAATTGTTTTGTGCTTTTTATGATTTTCAGATCCCTGCCTTGGGCAGGCAGAAACCATGAAATAGGGGGAAAGTGAAGAGAATGTAATTTTAAAAATTGAGTCTGTTGTAGACTAAAGACGTGGAGAAGGAGTCTGCTTTTAGTCCCACGTGTGCGGCTTGTGAACTGCACATTCTTGGCTGTATCCTTGCAAAAGACACCCGGCTTCTTTAGGGCTCCCTTGGACCAAATGCCTCCGAGTCCCATTTTTGTGCCAAACTTGTGAATGTGGTTTAAATTTCCCCATTTTTCAGTTACTTTGAGTTTTGAAACCCTAAAAATTTACATCTCTGTGTCAAGTCAAATCTTCGAGCAACACAGGTGCTGTAAACCGAGACAGTGAACATTGTAGAGCTCTCAGTGATAAGGAAGAGCCACTGGGGCACGTGTGCCACAGGTTCGCCACCTTCGGGAGACACGATGAATTGTGAGGGTGAGTTACAACCTCTCGCTCAGTGGTACACCCAGACCCAGGTGACGGAAAATATAGGATACGAGGGAGGAATGTCTGTAGGATTAGAAGAAGTAAAACATGAGCCTGTGTAAGACAAACTCCGCTGGACCTCCATCAGTTTGAGATGCAGAACATCTCCATGCTCACAATGCCTCCATGAGCCTCAAAATTGTGACAGATTTCTTTCCCTTACTTAAGGATATCTGCTACTGTGAAATTTGGGGGGGCTTTTGAGTCTTTAATATTTGTTATTTTACTTACTAAATATAGGAATCACTAAATAATATATTTTAAGTTCCCATATTCATGAAGAAGTTACATTAGCTGTTACTATACCAAATATATGCTTGATATATGTTTTATATTATTTATATTCTTCACTTGTCTTTGAGATTTAATTTGTTTATACAAAGAGTAATAATCATAATAATAATTTTCAGTTGCTGGTTGATAGATATTGAAGTTTTTTCTAGTTTGGAGCTTTTAATGTTCAAAGCTATTTTGTGCAATGCATTCTAAGGTTTTAATGAATAAATCTGCTTTGAACAATTCTGTGTTTTCTCTAGGCTTACACCTACTACGGTTTCAGGAAAGTAGACCTGCAAACATGTACTGCCACTGGTATCTGCTCAAAAGGATGAAAAATTTCCTTCTGGCTTTTTCGGAGGTAATTCTAGAATAAAATGTTTCAGTCTGTTTCATAAATTAGCTGATTATGATGTTTTGTTTTTGCTTTGTTCTTTATTTTTCAGAAAAAAAAATTTGGTCATACAAATACAGTAACCAAAAATGCATCAAACTTGCCTAATCTGAATTTTTTAGATGAAGATAAATTCAAAATCTTTTCTCATAACTGAAGAGTTTGGGTTATATATAGTAAAACTGAACTTCCGCACAATGAGTCATGTGAAAGAGGCCCACAATGATGGGCTGACAGGGAGAGGAGCCACTCCCTTCTTCTCAGGACTTATTCAATAGGCTGGCAACACTTATCTCAAACTCTAAGACCCTTTTAGATGTGTTCATACACCAACCGGTGGACACCCTGTGTAGGAAACGTAGTCCTGTCAGACCCAAAATATCTCAAAGTAAACTTACTATCTTTGTCCAATTCTGGACCATTTCTGCCCTTCTCACTTTCTGCACGATCTCACTTGAGGTGTCAGAATGTGACAAACTACCTCAAACTCCCCTTATCACTGGTTCCTTGACTCAACTCTTACCTCCTTCCAATATTTTCTTGAGACTCCTTGGTGGAAGAGCTTTTCAATAGTGTTCCATCTTTCTTATTCTGAAATAAAACACCATTAGCAAAGTGTAAAAGATTTCCCCATCTCTTCCTCCAATCACCCAGAGTAGAATATGCCACTTTTAGCCACAGATTGTATTTTAAGCCTTCCTATCAGCAGCTAATTATTAATATTTTTCAAATTCTTCAATTTTCACTGAAAACCCAATTCTTGCAGAAAGACTTCTATAGTAACAGTCTAGCTCTTTCCATAACAATGTCTGCTATTGCAGGGAACAGGTTCAACGAGGCTAAAGTAAAAGACCAGCTATGTCAAATGACTGTGAATTTTCATAATTCAAAGTCTAGGGCAATTAATTCAAGACTTAGCAAATTTTTTAAAAAGTTAACGTTGACTGAGAGCTTACTGATTATCAGCCATAGTACTAACACATTTTCATTCTGTTATTCTTTATCTGAGAATTGTATACATGTCCTATACAGTACTGGTAACAATTGAAATAAGCTACCAGTGAGAATGGTTAATATTTTCTCTATTATTTTATACCTTCTTTCATTAAAGGGAAATATGATATCCTTCGTGCTTTTTCCAGTATATTGTCAAGAATATATATAAAACCAAAAGTGGTAGTTAAGATTTAATTGCTATGACAATGCTTCCGTGCTCCCAATAGCCAGTTTAAATAGCACTCTACATTTTACATTAGCTGTTGTTATAGACTGGATCTCCAAGGGTCCGTGATGCGTGGGCACTGTGAAATGTGGGACTTCGCGGTGCGCAGTCACAGCAGGTCTGTCCTTTGGTGAGGGTTCCCCGGGGAATGCCAGGCCTTTCCTCTCTCTGTCCCTGGAGTCAAGTGAGAAATGTACCTCACTGTGCCTTGAGCTCCCCACCATTGCTGTCTAGCACCTAAACCAGTGGCCCAAAGGCAACAGATCCACCCTGTAGTGAAAAGGAACCCTAGAACTACAAGTTCAAAGAAACTGCATCCATTTTCTTAGAAATAATTTAAATGCATCCTTCTTTATGCAAAGTAATACTCCGGTATGTACAAGCAATATATTTTCTTTATTCATTCATCTGTTATTGAGCATTACCTACTGTGGGTGTGCATGTGTCAGTGCCATATGATGTCCTCATCTCTTCAGGAAGATACCTAGAAGGAGAAGAGCTGGGTCAAATGACATTTCTAACTTTAGTGTTTTAAGGGATCTCCATATTGATTTCCATCATGGTTGTGCTAGATTACATTCCCACCAACACTGTAGAAAGGTTCCTTTTTCCCTGCAACCTCACCAGGATTTGTTATTTGATTTCTTGACGATAGCCATTCTTTCTGGAGTAAGATGTAATCAGTGTTGTTTTAGTTTGTATTTTGCCAGTGGCCAGAAATGTTGAACATATTTTAATGTATTTATTGGCCACTTTTCCTTCTTCTGCTAAGAAGTGTCTATTCATTCCAGTTGTCCAATTTTTGATTGGACCTCTTATTCTGTGGTCCAATTATTTTGAATTCTTTATATATCCTAGACATAGTCCACTGACAGAAGAGTAGCTGTTAATTTTTTTCTTCCCATTCAGTAGGTTGTCTGCTCACTCTACTGCTTGTTTTCTTTACTGTGCAGAAGTGTTTTAATTTTATATAATTTCATTTGCTGATTCTTGCTGTTATTTATTGTGCAAATGGTGTTCTGTTTGGAAAGTCATTAACTGTTCCTACATCTTCAAGAGCTGTCCTTATTTTGCCTTCCAGCAGATTGCTTCTTTTAATATGTACATCTCTGATTCATTTTGATTTCATCTTGGTAGATATGGTAACAGATATGGGTCTGGATGCCATCTTTTGTATGGGGACAGTACCATTTATTAAAGAGGCTGTCTTTCTCTAGAATATGTTTTTGGACTCTTTGGCAAAGATCAGATGACTGAATGTGCTTGGTGTTTCTGCATCCTCTATTCTGTTCCATTTATCCTGATGTCCATTTTTGTGCTAGTACCATGTTGCTTTTATCACGGTAGCTTTGTAGTATAACTTGAAATTTGGAGTCATAATGAATCCTGCTTTGCTCTTGTTGCACAAGATTGCTTTTCTTTTCTTTTTTTTTGCTTTTCTTATTCCGAGTCTCCTTTGGTTCAGTATAAACTTCATAATTGTATTTTCCAGCTTGGTGAGGAATGTTAACATTTTCATGATTGCATTAAAATTGCATATCAGTTTTGAAAGCACAGACACTGATTGTGCCTATGTTGATTCCACCTAACTAGGAATAGGGAATATCTTTCCATTTTCTGATCTCTTCCTCGATCTCCTTTATCAGAATACTGAAGTTTTCATCATAGAGATCTTCCACTTCTTTAGTTAGGCTAATTCCTAAGTATTTAATTGTTCTTGATTTTATTGTGATTGGTATTATTTTCTTATTTTTTCTCAGTGAATTTCTTATCTGTGTAGGGAAACACTGTTGATTTTTGGGCAATGATTCTGTATCCTGCTACATTACTGAAGTTGGGATTCAGTGCTAGGAGTCTTATCATGCAATTTTTTGGGTCTTCTATGGAAACGTTCATTTCATCTGCAAATAATAATTTCACTGCGTCCTTTCCTTTACAAATTCTTTTTATTTCTCTTTCCTGAATGATCTAGCTAATGTTTTGTGTACTATATTGAACAGGAGTCATGATAGAGGACATCCTTATCCTGTTCCTAATTTTAGAGGTAAAATTTTCACCTTTTTCCCACTTAATATGATGCTGGCCTAGATTTGTCATAAATGGCTAGGATTTTCATCTTGAATGTATGGATTTTTTGTCAAGGACTTTTTCTGCACCTATTGAGATGATCATATATTTTAATCTTTGCTTTTATTTAAATGATGTATTACATTTATTTACCTGCATATGTTGAACCATCCTTGAATCCCTGCAAGCCTACTTAGCAAAAATGTATTATATTTTTGATGCTTTCTTTAGCTCCTAACTCAGGGTATCTGCTTTTCACCAGTGCATGAATTGGAGACTCTTTCCCTTGCTGTCACCCTGAATAAGTTATGATGGAGAAAAATTCTCTATTACAGTGATAGAAATCTATCACAGTTTTCTAATGGCTGTTGAAACATTTATTTTAGACCTATAAAATTCAGACTTAATAAGTGAAACTTTTCACCCATATATGACAGAATGCAGAACTTGAAACTGTAAAACTTCTAGAAGAAAATCCAGAAAGAAAAAATAAACTCCTACAACTTACTAACAAAAGTGGACATTGCCCAGTGAAAAAAATGGACATAGGACCTGAATGATCATTTCTTCCTGGAAGACATACAAATGGACAACAAGTGCATAAAAAGCTGACCAACATCACTAACCAACAGGAAAAGACAAATCAAAAGCACACTTTGTGTCTGTTAGGATAGTTAGGATCAAAAAATTTTTAAAAGGTAACTGTTGGTGATTGTACCATTTCTCACTGTTGGTGAGAATGTCAATTTGTATAGTCATTATGGAGAACAGTATGTAGTTTCTTCAAAAAGCTAAACATGGAAATATTATATAATCAAACAGTCCTATTTTTAGGCATATAGCCAGAGGAAATAAAATGAGTATATCTAAGAGATAACTGCACCCCTATATTCACTGTAATATTACTTAAAGAAGCCAAGCTATGGAAAGAATGAACATATCCAATGATAGATACAGAAAATAGAGTTTATATAAAAGTTCAGTGGAATATTGTTTAACCATAAAAAGAACAAAATCTTGCCATTGTAAACAGCATGGATGAACCTGGATGACACTACACAAAGTGAAATAAGACAGACAAAGTAAATACTTTGGTATCTCATTTAAATGGGGAATCTTTTACAAATGAACTCAGAAGCATGGAGTAGAGTGTGGTTGCTGGGGGCTGGGGTGGAGGTAGTATTTGTAGAGAAAGGGAATGAGGATATGTTGGGAAAAGGCACTAATTTTCAGCTATAAGATGAATAAATTCTGGGGATCAAATATACAGCATAGTGACTCATGAATTATAAACTTAAAGGTAATATTAACTTCTATACTTGAAATTTGGTAAGAGAATCAAAGGGTGTAGGAACCAGCCTACAAGCTTGAACCTGACCAAGGGGTAATGTGGGTGAAAACTAAAGAGACACAGAAACAGGTTAAAATCTGGGGTGCCAGGGGATGCATGTCTCCCTCCAACATGGAGCCCCAAACGACTGGTGCACCTTGGTTTTCTTCAGTAAGACACGGGAGCGAGCAATTAGGGTTTCACAGGATTCATCTTCTTCCTCCCTCCATGGTACTTCTCCAAGGAAACAACTTAATCTCAGGTGTGTTTACTTTTCCCTGCAGCGTGTTAGCACACTTGCATGCCCTCTTTCTCCTCAGCACTCACCAAGGAGGCCAATTACGCCTCATGGTTCTCATCTGGTCTTCCATATAAGAATTCTCACTACATACACAGAAAAGGTAACTATGTGAAGTTATGGAAGTGTTGATTAGTTTCATCGTGGTCATTTCATGATATATATGCATATTAAATAATCACATTTTGCATTTTAAATATGCACAATATTGATGTCAATTACAATTCAGTAAAGCAGGGGAAAAAAGACTCGAAAAATTCATTAGTGTAAGCCTTATAGCTTTGATTTTCAAGATCCTCTTCATTATTCTGGATAATGAATGTTTTCATTTTCATATAAAACTTAGAATTAGCCTGTCAGGCCCCCCCTTCCACAGACACAGATTAGGACAGTTTTAATCCCATAAACCGATTTAGGTAAAATTGACAGATTTATGTATTGTGTCTTCCAACTCATGAATACTTTAGCTCCATTTCTTTGAATTTTCCTTAGTCTTTCTCAGTAATAGATGACAGTTTTTATTCTGTAGAGCTTATCGTTTTAGATTTTTTCTTAATTTTTTGATTCTGTAGAGTTAATCATTTTAGATTTTTTTCTTCATTTTTTGTGGCTTTTGATGATCTGGTAATTGTCATTTTAAAAAATTCTAATTAAATAATCCCTCTGGGACCTGGAATTGAGACTCTTGGAAAATCACAATTTGATGAGGAGAAAAAAAAAGAAGTAGGTCACCAGAAATTGGGAGAGAGCTG